TCTCCAAAGAAGCAATGCTTCTAATGAATATGCTCTCTCTGCTGTAAATGGGGTCTCCGTAATAGGTCTTATCAGTTCTTGCAAAAGTTTCGGGACTTTCGAGTTAAGAAAAGAAATAATTTAAGACTGCTCATGTTAGACACAAAAGATAAACTTTCTTCAGAAAAGCCTCACCAGGCCTATCTTTCTGCTTATAAACTCCCTTTTAACAACCCTGTAATCCAGGGGTCTTCAAATCTGGCCCTTTGATGACTTGTAGACTTCAACTCCCAGAATTCCTCAGCCAGGCACGGGAGTTGAAATCCACAAGTCATAAAAGGGCCGAGTTTGAAGACCCCTGCTGTAATCCTTTAATTCAGGGTAGAGTCAGCGCGACTGGATGGAGCTGAGAGTTTACTGGCATGGTGCCCTAGAGGTGAAGACACTCGCTTCCCACTCATGAGGTTGAGAGTTCAGTCCTAGGTAGCAACAGACGTTTCTCTCCTAGGGTGCCAAGAAAAAAATAATAATATACTGCTGCAAACTCCACGTGGCATCAGGAAGGGCATCCAGCCAGTAAATGCTCAACTCCATCCAGTCCCCTATCTTTCTGCTTGGTTTATCTATTTCTCCTAATCAACTGAATCTCAATAATTGGGAATGATAAGACTACCTGCCTTTTAGATAAATAAGAGATTGGTGAAGGGGAGATGAAATTTTCCCAGATTAATTAGAGGAGAGCTGAACTTTCATTTTCTGAAAATTTAATAGAGAAGGATTAATTGCAGCTTTGGGCAAAAACGTCTTACATACTGCAGACCTTTTTGGTGTGTTATTAAAAGCCCTTCGCAAGTTAATACAAGCGTTTTACTAATTGAATGGGTAGAAATCCAAAATGTGTTTTCTCTTGCCAGCACACAGGGTTGCTTCCATTTCGTTGGGTTGTCACCCAATCATACTCAACATGTTGTCTCCCAGTCAAAACTATTCCAGTCTTGAGCGTTAATTGGAGATACAAGGGTCCTTTTAATTCTCACTAGGAAGTTGAAGTCGTAATGCTTAGTTAGCCAAGATTGGCTACCCCAGAAAAGATCACCAGTTTTTAAAAGGTGTATGTGGGGGGGGGGTTCTTCCCCCCCTCCCATATACACATTACCTGTGCATTGGGGCAGTGCTCCTTTGTGCACTGAGGATGTGGTAAGAGGAAAATGTTGTGAAAGGCCAGGCAATGGCTTTCTATTTTCATGAAAATAAATTGTTTGGGAAGCAGGTGTGAAGAGTTCCAATAAAGTGGATGGAAATTAAAAATACCATTTGCCCTGGAATGGTAGTCATATTGCAAGGAGTCAAAGGTGGATGAAGGCAAGAGAAAGCAAGGATTGTATCCATCTTCGAAGAAGGCCATGTCAGAAAACACACAATTAAGGATATCGGGGAAAGAGTAAAGAAGCAGAATCTTGCCCCCAAATCCCACGCTTGTTTTAATCTCTGGACAGTGCAAACTCTCAATCTCTCCCAAACCTTATGCAAGATTGGCTGTAAATCAGGCTTGACCACTCCTGGGAATTTTTATGGGTTGCCAGTTGTTTTCCAGGCACAGTGGGTGGCTGGTTGTCCTTTTTAAAACCCTTTGTGACACAGGACCTGGGTACCTGCAAGACCATCCTACCTTGCTAGCATCTGCCTGTCTGTCCAGCAAGGTCTGGTATGGAGGTCTTGTGGTGGATCCCAATTTTGATGGACCCACCACAAATCCTTATGGACCCACTGCAAAACCTTAAGGCCAAGTCTTCTTGTTAGTGGGTCCCTCAAGAAGACAAAGAAAAAAGTTCCCATCAAAGTTTGGGTTCCAGGTGACCAACCAGGTGATCTGAAAGCCCTCTGGGATGATCGCTGCTTCTCCTTTACATGGAATTTTAATCTGACTTCTCATATTTATTTCCTAACACATTTAAAGGAGGATGAAGCTCCTGAGATGGTGTTCCAAGGATCCACCCATCAGCCAGGAACGACTCTAATAGACCTAGAGTAGGCAAGATGGCCTACGGAGAGATTACCTCTCATATCACCAGGGAGCACTTCCTTCACAACTTTTAAGGGATCGTGGCCCATGTCAGAAAACCCAATGTTTGACGGAGCCAAAGTTTAGCTTATTCCCGATGAAAGGAACACACGGACATTCAGCCTTGTAAGACTGTTATCTTCTTCAGGGACGTTTCAAATGACCTGATCTGTTTCATATCTTTTATTGTCACGTCCTTCGTGAGTCTGGAAGAATAACTGCTGGAACAGATTCAGTGCTAAAAAAAAAAAAAGTTAGTGCAGCAAAATAAAGCCTTTCTTTAGCTTGGATGTCAAGGGTTGGTTGCCATCTGGTGGAACATGCTGGGAACACTTTTTGGTGTATATATAAAAAAATTCGTTTAGCAAATGCAGTACCTCTCCTTTTCAGAGGCTTGTATCAAACATGATAGTTACCTCGGATGAATTTGCCAGCTTTTTATTTTGAAAACCTCGAAATATCAAAAGGTGAGGCTTGATAGCTGGGCCTACTTTCTCAGAGGCAAATAAATCTTTCACAGAAATCTACTTTTTCCAAAGTGAAAAACTGATGGAAACATTTGTGGAAAAATACTATACTGTTCCTTTAGTTTCTTATTTCTCTGACCAGCCTCTGATCACTCAATTGTTAGGAACTCTTATTTTTCACTGGCCATTTTTTTTCACATGGCTATTTTTTAATGTTGCAATGCTGTTTTTGAGTTTCCAATCTCCCCTTCTCCTTTTACTTTAGCATCTTCCTCTTCTGCAGTTGCCTTTATCAACATGCACATACACGCAAAGCAGGCAACATACAAATTCCTCTTGGCTCACAAAGCTGACTTGCAAGCAACTTAGCAACTTCCATCTTTTCATCAGACCGATCAGTCCATCGGTGTCAGAAAGTTAACACAAGTAAGGCAGAACAAATTACTGTAGAAAGAATGGTTGTGGCGCTGACTATAATTTACAAATCCCAATGACAGTTGTGCCAGCCATTAATGATGCAAACAACATGGGTTTCTGTACAATGAATGGTTTTATTTACCATAAACCAAACTCCAGTTTTTGAAGTGTTTAAAGCATAAAGATTGCAAAAATTCTGTCATGCAAATGCATCATGCTGAACAAAAAACAAGGCTGTTTTATTTCAGCGAAAGATAAACACAGGTTTTGTTACTAATAGCACTGTCCAAGAGATTAATTTAATGCCAAGACCAACCACTTTTCATTTAGCTTTTTAAATAGAATATAAGAAAAAACAACACAAAAATCATTTAAAAAGTTATCAAAAGAAAAAAAAAGAGCCAAAATAAATATAATGCTCAGTTTTTAAAAGAAACATATTTTTATAGGCTACATTCAGCTCTGGGAAGGTCGGGGGAGGGAATGGGAGGGTCGGGGAGGTTTGGGCAAGGGTTGTTTTGTTTTTGTAAAAATTTTTTAAAAATTTTCAATAAAAAAAAAAGAAACATATTTTTTTCATAAATACATTAAAAAGTTTATCTTATTTTTTATTTATTTATCTTCCCATTATTATTTTACAAGTAACTCAAGGCGGTGATCATATCCAACCTTCCTCCTCCTGTCTTTCCCACAATCACCACCTTGTGAGCTGGGTTGAACTTAAAGAGAGTGACTGGCCCAAAGTCAATCGGCTGGCTTTCATGGTTAAGGCGGAACTTGAACTGAAAATCTCCCACTTCCTAGTCTGGTGCAACTACATCAAACCAGCTCTAATGCAGTTGTCTCCAATCTTTCCGGTTCGGTTAATTGGCGGGGGGGGGAAGAGAGGAGGGTTTCACACATGTGCGCACACCACTTTCACAAATACAGCATTGCACATGTTGTGCACGTTTGCCCACCATTTCTGAGGTCCGGTTTCGAACAGGCTGTGGTCCAGCACTGGATTGCAGAGCGGGGGTTCGGGATTCCTGCTCTAATAAGGTATTTTCATAGCACATTTTCCCCCTACCTGTGATTTATGTGCAATTTTCCATTTTCACTAGCTGTACATTTCTCTATGAAACCGGGAGAAAATACCAGGGATAGCTTTTGCAACATTTTGATAAGCTGTCCCTGTTTTCGTAATTTAATTTTAATTTAATTTAATTTATTAAAATTTAGAGACCGCCCCACTCCCACAGGACTCCGGGCGGTTTACAATAAAAACACAACATAACTTAACAAACAAACAATACAATAACATTCATCCAGGGGTCAGATTATATAAACCCCAGGCCTGCCGGAAAAGCCAGGTCTTAAGCAGCTTGCGGAAAACCAACAGGGTGGGAGCAGTCCTAATCTCCTGGGGGAGCTGGTTCCAAGACGTGGGAGCCATCACAGAGAAAGCCCTCCCCCGTGGCCCCACCAAATGGCACTGCTTGGCCGACAGGACCTGAAGGAGGCCCAGCCTGTGGGATCTAACTGGATGAAGGGAACTATGAGGTAGTAGGCGGTCTCGCAAATAGCCTGGCCCTGAGCCATATAGAGCTTTAAAGGTAATAACCAACACCTTGAATTGGACCCGGAGACCAATAGGCAACCAGTGCAGCTCACGGAGGATAGGTGTAACGTGGGTGTACCGAGGAGCACCCACTATCACTCGCGCGGCTGCATTCTGGACCAACTGTAGTCTCTGAATACTTTTCAAGGGTAGCCCCATGTAGAGCGCGTTGCAGTAGTCCAGTAGTCCATAATGTGTCACAATCATTTGGACAGCTTACACAAGGATCGACATTACAAAACTTGATCAACAAGCATGTTGCTAATAAAGTTTGCAAGGTAGTTTAGTTCAAAAGGCATTGTTTCATTCTAGCTCTATTCTCAGTACTGCAACATAGAAACCTCCTTTTTAATCCAGATGTTGATGGTGCAATTGGGATAAATTTGAAACTGAAACTTATTTTTCATGACCACCAGCCTTTTTTTTCACAGTATATCAATTTTTTTAATTTCAGTGAAAGAGCCAACAAGTTGGAAACATGTAGGAAATAAATACCATTATTTATTTACAAATTAATCCACCACAGCGAACTCTTTCATGCAGAAGTCTGCCTTCTAACAATAAGCCTATTGGCTACATCTGAATGATACATTCAACATTTTATCAAATATGAGGCACATGCTTCAACTGGGACAATAAAACAAATGTTTGTGTTTGTTAACAAATAATTTCAAGACTTTTAAATCATATGCAACAAAGATAGAAAATGCATTTTGAAAGTTGGTTGGTTAGTAGGTATTTAAAAAGCACTGTATGTTTACAACATCTGAGAAACTTACACAACCAATAACCAACATCTTCAACAAAAATCTTCTATTTCCCAGAAGCTTCATCTCAGTGAAAAACAATCTTCTTGATTTAATTTGTCATATTGTCAGCAGCCTAGGAAAAAGAATTTTGATTATACTAGTGTAGGTTCATAACCTATTGCAAATTAATAGCAACACACTGAACATTTATTGCAACAGTTCTGGCTATCTAGAACAGTGGTTCTCAACCTTTTTAATGCCGCAACCCCCAACTGGTCGTAAGTCGAGGACTACTCAACCGGTCATAAGTCGAGGACTACTCAACTGGTGCAGCACCGTTTGCAGAATGGGACTTTTGGCGGGCTCAGCAGGGCAGAGACAGCCTGGACAATTCCTATTGGCTTTTGAAAGCCAATAGAATTAGACTCTATTCAAGAGATTCTATTCTATTGGCTTTCAAAAGCCAATAGAATAAAAGGGAGTAGCACAGCTAAGGAAAAGGGGAAAAAAATGGCGGACTGCATTGTTTGGCAATCCCCGTGAAATGGTCGTCCGACCCCAAATGGGGTCCCGACCCACAGGTTGAGAACCACTGATCTAGAATGACTGTGGAAATCAATGACTTACAGATTGTCTTGCAATCAGTAAAATTGTGCTTCCTAAGAGCTGCCAATAGAGACCCTCAAGCACCCAACCATATTCCCAATTATAAAACCTAGAGCAGAAATGAGGTGATAAGCCACCTGGGAAAGCCAAGGGAAATCATCGAAACAGCCAAAAAATGAAAATTAAAATATTTCGGACATGTGATGCGACACCCAGAAAAATACGGCATACTCCATTTAATCCTCCAGGGAAAGATTGAAGGCAAACGAGGTCCAGGCAGAAGAAGAAACATCGTGGCTTCAAAATCTAAGGGACTGGTTTGGACAAAACTTAGCAGCACTTTTTCGTGTGGCTGCTGATAAAAGCAGAATCGCCAACATGATCGCCAACATCCGATAACGGATATGGCACAAGAAGAAGAGCAGAGGGGCGAACACACTAACTTACAACAGAATGAAAAGACCTGAACTGGTGATCTTTCTCTCTCTCTCTCCAGTTACTTTGGACTCTTCCATCCAGTGTGTGAATGGTAGGACCAGGGAGGATGGAATACTGGGCAGCGATTCTAAATCACTTCTTCCCATCACGTGGAAGGAACCACCCGCAAAAGAATTTGTAAACATGGACACAGTTTGTGAGATGCAGCCCCTGTACTCATAACTTGGACTAGAGCTGTTAACACCAAAACAAAACTTTTCTACCTCAATCCCTTATGATCACAACTGACTTACAATGTTTTTCACACTTGTGATAGTTGTAGCATCCCCACAGTCATGTAATTAAAATTCAGATGCTTGGGAACTGACTTATATTTATGACAGTGGCAGTGTCCTGGGGTCACATGATCACCTTCTGACAAGCAAAGTTAATGGAGGAGCCCGATTCACTGAACAGCTGTGTTACTAACTTAACAACTTTAGTGAGTCACTTAACAACAGTGGCCCAAAAAAAGTCATATATTGGAGCAAAAATCCCGTGGCAAATGTTTCATTTAACAACAGAAAAGCTGGGCCTTATTGTGGCCGTTGAAGACTACCTGTACAGCCCTACCAGGTGGTTTGACTTTCCAGGTTTGTGGGAATTAGTTGTTTAGCAGAGTGATGGCATGTGGGGGGGGGGGAGAAACAGTCTTTGTGCCTAGTCTTTGCGCCTGTGTGCTTAGCGCTCGAAGCATTGTTAGAGATCCCATACATGCACTTCACAGTTTGTTTCTGTTGCTGCCCTCTGGGAGGAGGTTTCGAAGTATTTGCAGCAGAACTACTAGATTCTGTAACAGCTTTGTTCCTTATGCTAGAGGTCTCCAACCTTTTGGGCATCAGGGATCAGTTACATCAGTGGTTCTCAACTTGTGGGTCGGGACCCCATTTGGGGTCGAACGACCATTTCATGGGGGTCGCCAAACAATGCAGTCCACCATTTTTTTTCTCCTTTTCCTTAGCTGCGCTACTCCCTTTTATTCTATTGGCTTTTAAAAGCTAATAGAATAGACTCTCTTGAATAGAGTCTAATTCTATTGGCTTTCAAAAGCCAACAGGAATTGTCCAGGCTGTCTCTGCCCTGCTGAGCCCGCCAAAAGTCCCATTCTGCAAACGGTGCTGCACCAGTTGAATAGTCCTCGACTTACGACCGGTTGAGGAGTCCTCGACTTACGACCGGTTGGGGGTCGTGGCATTAAAAAGGTTGAGAACCACTGAGTTACGTGGAAAGAGGTTTTTCCACGGACCGGAGGGGGTGTGGTTTTGTGTGCTGCCTGCAACCCATGGATGGGGCTTCGCTTGTTTCTGCGGACAAGTTGCTGGCACGCTGCGGCCCGGTACCAGTACCAGTCCGGGACCTCTGCCTTATGCCATCCATCTTGTAAATCTGCAGGATTGGTTTTTTTTCCGCCAGGTACATGTATATATTTCAACTAGACTGTGATGTTTCTCTGTGGTCATATATGTGTATATGGATATATGCATAATGAGTTTTTTATTTTTGAGAGCTGAATGCAACGAAATTTCATTTTAATGTATGCTGATTAGTGTACATTTAAAGTGACAATAAAGTTTTTATTCTATTCTGTTTTGGAGTGCAGTGTTTTCTTTTGGGAGCCCTTCCATTGCACGGATTTTCAGCTACCTGAAACCTCAGGTAATGTTATTTTTTTTTCTCTTTCCTGCCACTGCTGGACAGGTTGGGGGTGACTGGGCTGACTCCCCAGTAAAGGAGACTGCCGGGGGGGGGCTCCTGATGTCCCCCCGCCAAAGACCAGGGCACGACCCTCCATCCGGAATGGGACAACTCATCCCAGCCACTGTAAGACCCCTCGCCGTGGGACAATTTAACAATTCAAGTATTTAAAAATAAATTTTAAAAATTGTTTAAATTTTTGTAACTTGCCCTGGCTAACTTGCTGCAAGACAAATCGCAGTGGGAGAACTTAAGAATTCAACTTAACTATTTAAAAATAAATTTAAAAAATTATGTTAATTTTTGTAACTGACTATGGCTAACTTGCTGCAGGGCCCTTCGCCACGGGGCAACGGCAAAATTTAATAATTCAAATTTAATTGTTTGAAAACAAATTTAAAAAATTGTTTTAATTTTGGTAACTCGCCAGGGCTAGTTTGCTGCAAGACCACTTGCCGTGGGACTTCACAATTTGACTATTTAAAAATAAATTAAAAACATATTTTATATGTAACTTGCCACAACTCGCCACAATTTAACAATCCAAATTTAAGTATTTGAAAATAAATTTAAAAAATTGCTTTAAGTTTTGTAACTCGCCAGGGCTAGTTTGCTGCATTTGCCATGGGACTTCACAATTTGACTATTGAAAAATAAATAAAAAAAATTAATTCCTGTAACTCGCCACAGCTAACTTGCTATGTAGGACAACTTGCCGCCACGGGAAAATTTAACAATTGAATTCAATTATTTAAAAATACATTTAAAAAATGGTTTTAACGTTTGTCCTTCCTGTTTCATCCTGTCCCTCTTTCATTTTGCATCCTTTCTTTAATGCAGTGTTTCTCAACCTTGACAATTTTAAGGCCTGTGGACTTCAACTCCCAGAATTCCACAGCCAGCAATGCTGGCTGCGGAATTCTGGGAGTTGAAGTCCACAGGCCTTAAAATTGTCAAGGTTGAGAAACACTGCTTTAATGATTCTGTCCCACCGTTTCTTGGATATGTCCTGCAGCAAAGAGCCCTGTGGTGACCAACTGTCCTGTGGTCAACTGTCCTAGACTCCCCTACCCCCACCGACGCAGGGAAGGCTTCCCGGGCCCTCCCGCACCTTCAGGGCCTCGGACGCCTTGCGCAGCTCCCGGATGACGGCGGACAAGGCCTCGGGGTTGATGCCCTGCTCGCACAGCCGCACGCAGATGGAGAGCGTCTCCGCGTCCAGGCCGGTGTTGAGCAGCCGCGAGATCTCCATCAGCACTGCAAGAGAAAGACGGGGGGGGGGGGAGAGAAGGGGTGGTCAGTTCGCTCCGGGGCTCGTCTGCATGGCCTCGAGGGGACCCGGAGGAAGAGGGGATGGGGGGGGGACGGCCCCGGCCCGCCTCGCAGAGTTGGCCCCGGAAGCCCTCAGTCCGAAAAGGACGCACCGTCCATCGTCTCCCTCACGGCGTTCAAGTTGCCGGAGGACGAGCAGCTCGCCATGACGGCAGCGGCCCGGAAAGCCCGCCCCGCGCGCGCCCTTTCACCCCGGAAACCCAACGGAGAGGCCTTGGAAACCGACCGCAGCTGCCATAGAGCGGAGGAGAGAGAGAGAAAAGAGAGAGAAAGAAGGGCCGGCAAGTGCCGTCCCAGCCAATGGCGGCGCGCTCCCTTTTGAATGCGGCGGCGCCTCTTCCCGGAGAGGCTGCTTCGAACGGAGGGGGCGGGGAAAGGCCCCTTCCCGCGCGCCGATTGGCCAGCGCCCGCAGAGGAGTTAAAGAGCCGTCGCCGCGGCAGGAAGCGTTGGTTGGCAGGTCCGGTGCCCGGCGAATGACGGCCCCGCCGGAGAGGCTGACCGGAGGAGCCGGGATGCAGCGGCGGGCGCCGCCCGAGACTCCCGGCCGCGTGGAGAATCCCTTCGAGAGTCCCGGCGACGTCCGCCGCTTGCAGGAGCAGACAGTCTGCAGCCCCAGCGCCTTCCGCGCCACCCCGCCCGCGGGGGTGAGCTGGTGGGGGGGGGGGTGAGGAGAGCTGGGAGGAGGGGGCAGAGGAGGGAGGGGGCTGGGAAGGGGTGTCCCGAGGGGAGGGGCAGGTGGGGAAGGAGGGAGGGGTGCTGGAGGCTTGGGAGGCAAAGCCTGGGGGCAGAGGGGATCTAAGAGAAGGGGAGGGGAGCTGGAGCTTGGGGGTGGGGGCAAAGAAAGTCTGGGGCAGAGAGGATCTGAGGGGAGGAGAGGGGAGCTTGGGGGGCAGAGGGGATCTAAGAGAATTGGAGCTTGGGGGGCAAAGAGGGTCTGGGGCAGAAGGGATCTAAAAGAAGGGGAGGGAGGCTGGAGCTTGGGCAAAGAGGGTCTGGGGCAGAGGGGATCTAAGAAGGGGAGGGGGCTGGAGTTTGGGGGGCAAAGAGGGTCTGCGGCAGAGGGGATCTAAGAGAAGGGGAGGGGGCTGGAGCTTGGGGGGGCAAAGAAAGTCTGGGGCAGAGGGGATCTAAGAATTGGAGCTTGGGGGGCAAAGAGGGTCTGGGGCAGAAGGAATCTAAGAGAAGGGGAGGGGGGCTGGAGCTTGGGCAAAGAGGGTCTGGGGCAGAGGGGATCTAAGAAGGGGAGGGGGCTGGAGTTTGGGGGGGCAAAGAGGGTCTGGGGCAGAGGGGATCTAAGAGAAGGGGAGGGGGGCTGGAGCTTGGGCAAAGAGGGTCTGGGGCAGAGGGGATCTAAGAAGGGGAGGGGGCTGGAGTTTGGGGGGGCAAAGAGGGTCTGGGGCAGAGGGGATCTAAGAGAAGGGGAGGGGGGCTGGAGCTTGGGCAAAGAGGGTCTGAGGCAGAGGGGATCTAAGAGAAAGGGAGGGGGCTGGGGCTTGGGGGGCAAAGAGGGGCTGGGGTAAAGGGGATCTAAGGAGATCTGGAGGCAGAGGGTGTCAGAAGAGAGGAGAGGGATGTTGGGTTCTCCAAAAGCCCCCTTAACCTGCTTCTGCAGAGCCCCGGGAGATTCATGTGGTCCATTGACGAGCTGGCCCTGATGGACCCAGTAGAGATCAACTCGGAGGACATCCACCGCCAGGCCTTCTACCTCAGCCAGAGCAGGTGGGGCAGGGCAGTGGGGTGGCTGCAGGTTTTGGAGGGGTTTCTCCCTGGTTGCCCCTCACTCACCCTTCCTTCCTTCCTTCCTTCCTTCCTTCCTTCCTTCCTTCCTCAGGATCGACAGGGAGGTTGAGGAGCAGAGGCAAAAGGCCATCGAAGAGGTAACAAACACCGTCATCCTTGGTTCAAGCCAGCTGGGGGAGAGGGGTTGAGTTACAGCCATTCAATGGGAAGCTTTCCTTGCCTGCTGTGTCACCTTCAAAGTTGCCTCCATCCCCTGAGCAATGAGCAGACATGAGAAGGGTGCTCAGGAAGCGAAAACCCTTTGCTTGGTACCCAACGAGCTACGGACAAAGAGGCTTTGAATCCACTCATCGTTGGCTTTAGGCAGGAAAACATCTTGCCTTTCTCTTCTTAAAACTCTGCCAGCAAACTGATTGTCCCCTGCAAAGAACATGCATGTCATTAATATGCATCCTGTCCTTTCTTCCTAGTTTTTCACCAAAAGCACTATTGTCCCATCACCCTGGACCGATCCCATCGGGAAACAGGCCTCTCAACTGAATTCAACCAGATGTAAGCAGCAGCTTCTTTTTTTGTAATAATAGTTTTATTGGTTTGTCGAAATATAAAATACAAAGAGAAATTCAAAATAGAAAACTAGAAGAAGGGAGGGGAAAAGAAAAAAAGGTAGTGTAAAGAGAGAAAAGAAAAAGGCATCAACTTCCGACTCTCTTTAGCACAGTAGAAAATAACACTACAATCGCAACTTTTTGCTTTTACGCAACAGTGTGCGCAAACCATTTTTGTAAAAATGAACCTATCTAATTATATCTAATCCTGCTTCTGTTTTGAAATCGCTTCCAGATTTCGTGCTTGCGGTGAAAAAAGGAAAATGAAAGCTTGATTTTGCTTTTGTTAATTAGTTTTATTGTTATAGTACAGTATTTCTTAACCTGAACAATTTTAAGGCATGTGGACTTCAACTCCCAGAATTCCACAGCCAGCATTGCTGGCTGTGGAATTCTGAGAGTTGAAGTCCACATGCCTTAAAATTGTCAAGGTTGAGAAACACTGTTATAGTAGCAGCGTCTGTTCTGGAGCCAGGGAGAGTTCACTTCAAGGGATGGAATGCAAATGGTAGAGATGAGATGTCCCCAACCTTTTGGACACCAGGGACCAGTTCCGTGGAGAAAGGTTTTCTGTGGACCGGAGAGTGTGTGGTTTTGTATGCTGCCTGCATCCCACGGATGGGGCTTTGCTTGTTTGTGCAGGCCGGTTGCTCGCATGCCATGGCCCGGTACCGGTCCACAGACCAGGGGTTGGGGACCCCTGACCTAGATGGCTAGTTTCCAGGATCTCCAACAGGCAAGATTTTGACAAGCCAAAAAGGAGACCATTCTACATGCTTCTCAAGCCATCCTTGCTAAGCTAAAGAAAAAAAAAAAACATTTTGCATGTTCTGCTAAGAAAAACAAAAAAAGTCTAATGAATTTTTGCTCTCGGATCGTAATATTACACAACACTAGGTAGGTGCTGCTGTTTGTTTAAATTGCAATAATTGGAATCACTTTATTTTGAGCTGTTGTTTGTGTCCTCGTGGAAGATTTTCCTCCGTATTTAACGATCGACTGATTGATTCTTGTTTCTGTGAGCTGAACCACTTGACCAAAGCTGACTGCCAAAATATGGACAGAGGGAGCGTTTCCCATTGCCGCTAAGCATGGGCAATGCTTTTTATGCCTTCCTTGTTGCTATTTCAGCTGTTCACTAAGAACTCGATAAATTGCAGGTGTTGATCTCAACGATGCTTCGCCAGTCGGCCGAGAAATAGTCGTGCAGCCCGGGAAAAATAATGGTTTGTATGAGAAAGAGGGCAAACTCAGTATATGAAGGGATCTGGGTGGAGAGAGAGGGGATCTGTGTGAAAGAGAGAAAACATGCCTGTCAATAGGTTGATGCGTGTACAGATCGTCTTTGATTTATGACTGATGACTTAGCGACTGTTTGGAATTCCCACAGACCTACTTGTAACCCAGATTTGAAGTTCAGATGGTTCCCCCCCCCCCCCGCAGTCATATGGCCATTTGCAGTGTCCCACGGTCGCATTGACCCCACTTTGTGATGGTTTTGCTCAAGTTATTTTCAGTTTCGGCAAAACAAAATGACAGACCTGGTTTTACAACTATCATAACTTATGACCACAGTGGGCAGGTTCCATTATGGCCATACCTGAGGGATAAAAGAGAAAAGTTTGCGTTGCTTCATCCCTCTGGCATTGTGGCTAGGAAGCAAGAAGTCTTTGCAGTCCAGTACGGCTGGCTTTTCTGGGAGGCTATTTCCTGTCTAGCATTGTTGTTACTTGCGAAGTCGTATTTGACCCATCGCGACCCCATGGACAACGTTCCTCCAGGCCTTCCTGTCCTCCACCATCTTATGGAGTCCATTGAAGCTCACGCCTACTGCTTCAGTGACTCCATCCAGCCACCTCCTTTTCTGTCGTCCCCTTCTTCTCTTGCCCTCAATCTTTCCCAGCATTAGGCTCTTCTCCAGTGAGTCCTTCCTTCTCATTAGGTGACCAAAGTACTTGAGTTTCAACTTCAGGATCTGGCCTTCTAAAGAGCAGCCAAGGTTGATCTCTAGGACTGACCGGTTTGATCGCCTTGCAGTCCAGGGGACTCGCAGGAGTCCGTACAGCCTTGCAGTTCCTGGAGAACTCGCATTGAAGTCCTTAACAGGCTCACTCTGCTTAGTGTCTGAAAAGCTGAATTTGTCCCAGTTTGTTCCAAGCTTCTTGCCACCTTGGAAAGATTGTGTTTTATTGTGAAGTCTGAAGAGATTTTTAAATGCCTTGGTCCTGGTGATGCAGTCCTGTTGCTCTGATTCTTTTTCTTTTCTTTTTTTTCCAGCTGCTTGTCAGACTGTGTTATCTCTACCTGTGGATTTTGATTTGGAAAAGATTCTGGGTAGGTAACTTGTAAAATAAGGTGCTGTTCCTGTAGGGTCTCTATAACAGTCTTAAAAGAGCTGGAACTGGACTGGAGAAGCTGTAATAATACCTCAAAAGCAGAGTGCATATGATAAAATAGGGGTCTTCAAACTTGGCCCTTTGATGACTTGTGGACTTCAACTCCCATAATTCCTCAGCCAGCGTGCCTTAAATCTAACAAACAAAATGGAGGCTGGCTGAGGAATTCTGGGAGTTGAAGTCCACAAGTCATCAAAGGGCCAAGTTTGAAGACCCCTGTCTTAAATCTAACAAACAAAATGGAGGCTGGCTGAGGAATTCTGGGAGTTGAAGTCAACAAGTCATAAAAGGGCCAAGTTTGAAGACCCCTGTGATAAAAGGATCACAATCTAAGGCGAGTCTGAGGGGTTGTGTAAAGGCACATAACTTTGTGCGAGTCTGAGGGGTTGTGTAAAGGCACATAACTTTGTGTGATTTGTGGCTGCTCTCGTCCCTCCTCTCTGCAGTTTTTCTGAGCGATGCAGAAGATGGGCGTCCACCCCTGCCCACAAGCTCCAAAATTCCCCTAACCCTTAAAAAAGGCAAGGCCAAACGAATTTCTACGATTTGTGCTTGCTTCCCCTTTGACCTTGTGCAAAACATTAAATGGTCCAATTGGATTTATCTTGGGAGGGGAAACAAGAGTCCCTGATTAGGAGTTCTGGAGTTGAAGTCCACAGGTCATAAAGATACCATACTACCCCCCCCCTTGCTTTGGTAGATCAGAATGCTAGTCTCCAAGATTGCAGCCAGCTATGTCAAAGGAAGAATATGGCCTTTGGCACAACCTGGGCAGTCTTACCACTGTGCTTGGGGATGTGAGAGTGTGGCTAGGGCAGTGGTGGCGAACCTATGGCATGCGTGCCGGGGGGGCACTCGGAGCCCTCTCTGTGGGCACGCACGCCTCGCTCTTTGGCTAAGTTTTCGCAGGAAAAAGCCATTTCTCAACCCCGTTCCTAGCCAAAACAAGCTTCTGGAGCGAGCACGCTGTTTTCAGCTTTGAATTATATCAAATCTGACACTAGGAAGAGACTTAACAGATGACCTGAGTGCTGCCTGCAGTGTGGCTCTCAAACTTACAAAGTATAAGCCAAGGTTAGACAAATTATCAGCATGCATACAACAGCAAAAATCACATTAATTGTTCAAAAGCATGCCAAATGCAAACTTTTACCTTTCAGTAAAAAGTTGTTTGTATCATTGGAAAGCTTTTTATTGTGTTTTTCTTTTAAGACAAAAGATGTTAATGTATGAATTTTTTTTTTCTAAACTAAAACCTCAGTATTCAGATTAAATAGCTGTGTCGGCACTTTGCGATGAATAAGTGGGTTTTGGGTTGCAGTTTGGGCACTCGGTCTCTGAAAGGTTCGCCACCACTGGGCTAGGGAATTCTGGGAGTTGAAGTCCACAAATCTTAAAAGCTCCCAAGGTTGGACATCCCTGTGTAGAGTCTCCTGCAGGGGGTTGGACTAGAAGACCTCCAAGGTTCCTTCCAACTCTGTTCTCCTGTTACCGTTACTGATTGTGATGGCCACACATGCCTTTCTTCTCCTCTTCCTCAGGTGACCATTTCAAAGCTGAGGAATCGGCTGATCAGTCTCAGGAGAGCCTAAGCACTTCGTCCTTGAGGAGAAAGCTCTTTTTGGACGAGAATGGCAGCCTCTCCTCCGAGAACGTCTCCCCTTCTCCCAGCTTGCGCAACAGTCCAGCCTCCCTGGGAGTCCTCTGCTCCATCGATCTCTCTCCTGTCCGCTGCAGGAGCCCTCTGAGTTCTTCCAGCTCGGTGAGTAGCTGATCCGGGAGACGTTGATCAACGCAGGGTGATTGCGGCAGGTCAGGATGAGCTCAGCTAGGTTTTGGCTGAAGAGCCAAAGACATCCGTCGTGGATAACTCAACTCCCACCGCTTTCTGCAGACTGTCAGAGGGATGAAAACGGAGGGTTCCAGTTTCCCCTGGCGTTGATTTAGATCAGGGGTTCTCAACCTTGGCAACTTTAAAACTTGTGGACTTCAACTCCCAGAATTCCTCAGCCAGCTTTGCTGGCTGAGGAATTCTGGGAGCTGAAGTCCACAAGTCTTAAAGTTGCCAAGGTTGAGAACCCCTGATTTAGATGCTGTCCACTGTCCCATAGCCATCTAGCAAAGCAAGACTCTGGCCATTTGTTTTTGCCAAGAATATACTAAACCCGAAGTGATTACAGGAGTAGCGTGAGCTGAATCTGAGGTTTTCCCCTGCAAACAAGACAAAGTAAATGTTCCTCTTCGTCCATCCCGCAGTGATCCGTAAATGTCCAATTAGGATGGGTGCTTGTACAGTAGCGGCCAAAACTGTGGAAACCTTTTGGGAAAAGTGTACAGTAGAAATGCCACCTTGGGTTAAGTTTCCACCCATTTTTCTTCTAATTTCTTTATAACTGTAGCCTTGTTCACTTAATAATACTACTTTACATCGCTTTCTGGGCGACCGGTCAACTCTTTGCACCATGACTTTAATTTTATTACGTTTTACAAGCTCACTAAATGAAAGAACACCAAAAAACCCAACCAACTTGATAGCGATCACATAACACACTGACAAATGTCCTCCTCTCAGCTTCTATATATGACATCAATCATTGAATCCTACGTGATCTGACTGGCTCATTGCCAAAACAAACTGACACCCGATTGGCTCTCTAAACACTCATGCTCATTGGCTACAATCAGATGAAGGAAAGTTAACCTGATATCAACCTAAGCAAGTTGTGCTTCCTTTTTCTTCTGGTTATTTGGCTATCACTTTTCATAGAAATACAGTACAGACAATTGAACAAACTACGTTGCATTACATTCTTGATTAAATTCTCTTTCCATTGATATATAATTTTATGGTACTACTCCCAAAACAAAGTGGTGTTATTAGCCATCAAACCTCAAAAATACACTTTTCCCAAAAGGCTTCCACAATTTTGGCCACTGCTATATATTGTTGAGGAAAGAAGTTCTCGGTTCCCAGCTGTGCATTATCGATAGTTGACTTTGGCTAGCTGAAGCTTCTCACAAGGTGCGGCTGGGCTTCCATCCCCCTCTTTTTCCTTGCGTTCCGATCCTTCCCTCCACCCCCAGCCCCCGTCGCTAATGTCAGGCTGACAGCTCCTGAAGCTTGGATAGGAGAGATGCAGCCATGACAGACGCATTCTGCGGCTCATTCTTAATGCGAATCTCTCTTTGTGCTTGAAAGGGCCAACTCTCCTCCAGCCCCATCCGGGGGAATGCCAGGACGTACAGTTTGGGCAGCCTTCCTAGTCCTTCCTTGGCGTCCCCCATTTTCTCTCCGGTTGGCATCCAGCTAAGAAAGACTCCGCTGGCAGGTATGTTTTGGCTCTGTAGAGGCTTCTTGCTGGGGCCTGAGGGTGGATCGCCGTCGTCCTGGGGACCAGATGGGATCAGTCTGAAGGCGCTTCTTCATCTTTGGGGTGTCCAAAGTGCCTCCTGTTGCTTCTGTTCCCTGTCTTGCTTCCTATCAGGGGCGTACGGCTGTTCAATCCACAGGTGAGGGTGCCTCAATGCAGTCTTCAGACTTAATGTCTGTGGAGATTCTCAGTCATGGTTGTCTCAAAGGTGCTTTCCCCCCCTCAAAAAAACAAAGGTAACTAGGGTATGTTTTTTTTTTTTCCCTTGAGGAAGGACGTTTCGCTTTTCATCCAAGATGCTTCATCAGTTCTGATTGAATTGTGGAGGGGGGATAATGGAAGGATTAGTTCTGTCAGAAATAATCCTTCCACCACTACCCCACAAACTTCCAGTCAGAACTGATGAAGCTTCTGGAATGAGAAGTGAAACGGCTTCTTCCTCAAGGGAAAAAAGAACATAGTCCAGTTGCCTTTTGAGGAATGCACCTGTCGTGCCTCCGTCCGAGCCTCCGTCCGAGTTCTCTTGTTGAGGCCCAGGAGGGGGTGTCTGTGGCTTCGGAGGACTGTAGGGAGGAACAGGCTGAGGCAGGCCAGGGCCCTTCAGGTTTGGAATAGGGAAGGCAGAGTTCAGGCGAGGAGCAAGGCCCCTCCCCACCTGATCTTAGAGCAAGGAGAGCAGAGAGGAGGAGGGAACAACGGAGGCAGGCTCCCTTGCTCGGGAGGAGAGCATCCCGCCCCACTCCACAAGGCACACCTGGGGAGTAGGTATTTAAAGAGATGCTGTGGGGTGGGGTATTTGCCGGGAACAAATGTGAACTCTTGTGATGTGAGCTCTTGTACCTGGACTCTTTGTATTTTGGACCAAGTTTGTTTCCTGCTGAGTTCTCCTTGCTGTCCTCAGTTTTGCAGTTTGCAGGTTACAGGCAAGCTGGGCGTTGAAAAGATCATACTTTGTTATCTGTTTTACTTTAAAGCAGTGTTTCTCAACTTTGACAATTTTAAGGCATGTGGACCTCTGGGAGTTGAAGTCCACATGCCTTAAAATTGTCAAGGTTGAGAAACAATGCTTTAAAGAACTGTTTACCTCCGTTGACTGTTTTATTGAACTTGTGCCAGTATATGTGGGGGCTGTTGGGTGAATGTTGGTAGTGCTTACAAAGACTTACAAAGTTTAGGCGAGGAGTAACACACACCCCCCCCGATCCTAGAGCAGTGATGGCGAACCTTTTAGAGACCGAGTGCCCAAACCACAACCCAAAACCCACTTATTTATCACAAAGTGCCAGGGCTGCATTAGCATTGTGGTGCCCTCATGTGGGCATGACACACTGGGTGGGCATGGCTGAGGTTGTCACGGCAGACTGGGTGGGTGTGGCTGGGGTGGACATGGCCACCTTGATGTTGCTCATGGGGGGGACGCCTGTGGGGACCGGGCAGGGTTGGGGGAGATCCAGGGGGTCTCTGGCGGGTGGGGTGATAGGCAGGAGGCCCAGCATAGATGGGGGGGAGGTATGCAATCCTAGCTGGGACTGGGGGGGGCATGGCACTAATGGGGATCCAGCTTTCCCCTCTCGGGGTGGCTTTTGGCTTGCTGGGTGTGGGCGTGCTCTACCACCTCCACTCGAGTTTGCTAGCTGGCCGCTTTGCCTTTGTGCTGGGTGGGGCTGCCCCGTCGGGCAGCGGCCTAATTGACCTGCACAAGCTGCTGGCAGTGACGACACGCGTGCCCACAGAGAGGGTTCTGAGTACCACCTCTGGCACACGTGCCATAGGTTCACCACCACTGTCCTAAGGCAAGGAGAGCAGAGAGGAGAAGGGAGGCTCAATAGCTTGGGAGGAGAGCATCCTGCCCCACTCCACAGGGCACATCTGGGGATTAAGATTTAAGGAGACGCTGTGGGGTGGGGCATTTGCTGGGAACAAACGTGGTATCTTGAGATAGTTGTTTATTATGCTCTTGTCTTTGTTAAACCTGGACACTTTGAATTCCGGACCGGTTGGTTTCCTGTTTCATGACCACAGACTGTATTCCCTGAGTCTCTCTCTGCAGTCTGCAGGCAAGCTGTTCCCTCCTCCTCTCTGCTCTCCTTGCTCTGGGATCTGGTGGGGAGGGGCCTTGCTCCTCGCCTGAGCTCTGCCTTCCCTGTTCCAAACCTGAAGGGCCCTGGCCTGCCTCAGTTTTCTTGTTATCTGTCTTGCCTTGAGGACATTGGCTGGCTGTGTGGGGATTGCCTTTAGCCAGAGGCAGCTGAAAGGAATGGGTGTGCGTGCTTTGGTTGAACTCTTGCCAACATATGTGGGAGCTTTTGGGGAACACTGGCAGTGATTAAAGGAGTGCTGCTCTTGCCAGCCGACTGCTTTGCCTCCATTCGGGGCCCTGGGTCATCACAGCACCTTTCAGACAGTCCTTAAAGGAGCAGTTCCTGTCTCTGATAGGAGGGTCCAGCAAGCTTATCAAGAGGGCTTTTGGTTCTGCACACTCGGCGTATGCTCCCTCTGACGTTTTCTTCCTTTCCCCAACACCACAGATCAAAGGCAGTTCACTTTTCGCTCTCCGGATCTTCCGTCCGTTTCCAACGCCTGCCGTCAGGCGCCTACCAGCGGCAGGAGTCCCTATGTGGAATGCTCTCCGTTAAGGAGTCTCTCGCCCGCGAGGCTCCTCTCCTCCTCCTACTGGGGGGCTGCACTGTATCAGAGTTCCCTTCTCCGCCTCCCTTGCACCCCGGAGAACTTCCAGGAAGAGCTGGCAGAAGCAGCGGAGGCCACGTCGGTGGAGAGTCCCAGGGCGGGCCTGACCCCTGTAAATGAAGATATCCCTTCAGCTGGGTCCCACTTTGAGATGGCTGCTGTGTCTCCCTCACTGGACCTCCCTGAGACCTGCCCCAAAGGGTTGGCACCCAAGCCCTGCTTGGACTCTCCCAGGAAGGAAAGGACGGTGGAAATGGCCGATCCGGAGATGCTGGATGAGAACTCGGTGAAGGGATCGGCTGAATGTGACCAGGGGGCCATGGCTGGACTGAGCATGGAGGGTTCTTGTATCTGCATGGCTCCTTTGGCGGAAAGCAGTGCCTCTCCCTGCGACAGCAGCAGTCTGCAGGTGAGGGTCAGCCCAGTGCCCAAGGGACTCGAACCCTGTACCCACCTCTCTCAGGCTTAACCAGGAAGTTGAGCAGAGTAGGTGGAGGAGTAGCAAATGGTGAAAGCAGGATGGTGTTGGTCCAGCTAAGCAATAGACCAGTGCTTCTCAACGTTTGTGTGACGGCGACCCCCATCACACAAACGTTCCGCGCATGCGCGGCGCCGCGCGCATGGGGGTGGGGCCCGCATGTGCGGCGGTGCCCCATGCGTGATGCGCATGTGTGATGCCCCCCATGCGCGGGGCGCGTGCACGATGGCGCCCCCATGCGCGGCGGCGCCATGTGCGGCGGCGCCCCCATGCGCGGCGCACATGCGCGGCGGCGCGAAAAATGGCGGCTCGCCACCTTTGGCGATCCCCCAAAAATGGTCGATCGACCCCAAATGGGGTCGTGACCCATAGGTTGAGAACCGCTGCTCTAGACAAAATAGAAAGGGAAATTTTCCTATGCAAAACCGACAGATATTGACTATAGCAATTATAGCACCTTCGTTTGTTTTATCAAATGTAGATAACGCCCCTCTCTTCCCCATGGGAGGAAGATTTCCATAAGGCACTCTGTACAATCCTGCTGCAATTCCCCCAAAGGAAAAACCTTAGGGGGGAACGTTGCAGATGCCCTGGTGGAGGGCAGATCCCTCTTTGGGGACATTGCCCAATTTCCAACTGTCTACCACGTGCAAGGCCTCTGTTGAGCTACACTGGGAGTACTCTGGAGACCCCCTTGTGCATACAGATAGTCCTCAAACTTACAACAGTTCCTTTAGTGATGGTTCAAATTCACAGTGGCACTAAAAGAGGGGTTTATGGCTATTTTTCACACTTATGACCGCATTCCCGTGGTCATGGGATCAACATTTATACACTTGGCAACTGGCTGGTAGTTATGATGGTTGCAGTGTCCCGGGGTCATGTGACCACCTTTTGCAACCTTTGGACAAACTCAGTGGGGAAGTCAGATTTACTTAACTTATCTTAACGACCTCAGTTGTTATCTTAACAACTGTGGCAAGAAAAGTTGTAAAATTGGGCTCACTGCACTCAGTTAACAACAGAAATTTTGGGCTCAATTCTGGTCGTAAGTCAACGACTACCTATAGTATCTCGGCACTTCTGGAGCTTTAAAAAGAGAATTTTCTTGGAATTCTATTTCCCGGTTGCTGATCCATCACTTCATCCCATACCGAGAATTGTAGGGTAGGAAGGGCACGGAAGATCTACCCCAGCCCCCTGCTCAGTGCTGGAATAATTACTTCTACATTCTGATTTCTTTTGGACAGATGGACAGTGGTTACAATACCCAGGCTCACACCAGCAGCCTCATGGATACCGCTGGAAGCGAACTCAGCTGCCGAGAGCATGGCGCATTTGAGGCTCAGAGGAAACCCCAAATTTCCAGAACGAAGGTAAGTGGATCAAGGCTGGTCTTCAAAAGCTGGAGTTATTCTGCCCAGCATCTTCAGCTTTCTAAGCCCTTGCTTGGGAAAGAAATCTAGGCAGTAATATGGCACACCTATGCAAAGATTGACGTGGCTAATGGACAATCATTTGGGTGTTCTCTCTTTTCCCCAGCAGGGAAAATGGATACTGGGCTGAAACTGCTTGTCGATCCAGCAGTCTCTTCCTGGAAGTGCCTTTGTCAAAATGATCCGAGCCTGGCGTAGTTCTGCTTCCACTGGGATTGACAGAGAGGCCATCCACCAGAGAGCTGAATGCCTGTTCTGACAGATATATTGACAGTGGACTGGTTCAGCTGCCTTCCTGCAGCCGAAGAGAAATTGAACCCAGAGGTGATCTGCCTGGCCATAACCCCCAAACTGGCACTGGGATGTTGTGAGCTATAGGTTTGTGCACTTAGATTCTCACAAAGACTCTGTTGGGGTTGGGAGGCTGGTGCTATATGCCAGGGGTCTTCAAACTTGGCAACTTTAAGACTTGTGGACTTCAACTCCCAGGGCTGGCTGAGGAATTCTGGGAGTTGAAGTCCACAAGTCTTAAAGTTGCCAAGTTTGAAGACCCCTGCTGTATGCCCTCTACACGGCTGCCTGCATTGATCCTTGGTCTACCCAGGTACAGCCAGTCGTTTCTTAATGTGCCAATCATGGGCTCACTTCACCAGGCAGGGGCTGGCTTACGCGAGCATTGCCAACGCACAAATAGATGCCCTGGTCTTAAACTTAGTGGACGTTAACTGCTTGGGATTAGGTATCACCAACATGCCGAAGGGTGTGGAGGAGCAATAGATATTATCTTGTTTTCTGTGAAAATTAATTCCGTTTGTTTAAAAGAAAACTCTCACATCTTGATTATGCTAATTGCATCCCAGACCGATGAATTTTTAATAAAGTGGTTGTGCTTTTTCCCCCTGTTTTTCGAAGTTTTATTACCAATGCAAAACAGAACAATGGGGCTTCAACAGGAACCTAGAAAACATGGTTAGAATAAATAAACCAGGGGTCTTCAAACTTGGCCCTTTTGTGACTTGTGAATTTCAACTCCCAGAATTCCTCAGCCAGTGTGTGCCTGGCCGAGGAATTCTGGGAGTTGAAGTCCACAAGTCGTAAAAGGGCCAAGTTTGAAGACCCCTGAAATAAACCTTTTGAACAAAAAGACAACACTCTGCCCAATCATTATTTTTTTTTAAAAAAAAAAAACATACTGGATTGAAATTATGTGTCATCATAAAAATTTTATACATTTAAGACAGTGTTTCCCAAACTTGACAATTTTAAGGCATGTGGACTTCAACTCCCAGAATTCCACAGCCAGCGTTGCTGTGTCAAGTTTGGGAAACACTGATTTAAGATAACCGTGGTTTCCCCGCCAATTTGCAATACTCTGAAAAGCCCATGTTAGTAGGTTGGAATGATTTTGTTCTTTTTTGTTTTTTAATAAGTACTATGGTTCTGCCAAAGGCAGGAAACACCCTTTCCCCCTTCCTATTAAAATAGTTTGGCTAGTGCCAAGATAGAAGCCAGAGAATGATTCAACTTCATTTAAAAAAAAAAAAACAACTCTACAGGAACCATTGAACACATGTATTAAATCTATGTATTTAAAAAAAAATGTGATGTTATTTTTTGCTATATTTCAGCCCTGCCTTGGAAAAGCTCAGAGGCTGCATGGCAAGATTGCTGAGATTTTCCCATTTTACTTGTAACTTTTCTTCCTTGGCTGTTTAATCCCTCCTTCCTAATTAGCTAGGAACTGGATTTTGTTTACAGCGCTCATTAAATAAGTTAATTAAGTAACTGGGGATTGGCAATTTTATCTGTAACAAGAGAGATGTGGATTAGAAAACTGGAAGCACAAATTGAGAATCGGAAGCGTACCACTTTAACTGTCAACCCTTTGGAGATTATGCTGCTTCTAATTCATCTCCTTGTGCTCTGCCTGTTTTCTTTTAGAAAATGGAAGCAGGTTCTCTTCTCTTTAAAATGGATTTATTTGGCAGTAGCATCATATCCCAAATACTTCAATCATTATCAAGTATCTTCGTACCATGAAATAAACAAAACCTCATCGTCTGGAAAACGTGAACATTAACAAGGCCTCTCCTGGCTGTTCTGTGCTTCTGATCTATTCAATCCTATTTATCATTCTCCTTTTACCACTTTTTTTTCTTTTTCTTTTTTTATAAAGATGGGCCAAGGGACTGACAAATAGTTTAAAAGATTTTAGAAACTGGTTTTGTTTTGCTGACAAATTAAAAGGTGCCTCCAAATGAAAAAGCTGAAATACAGCAAAAGTTTTAAGTGGTACCTATTTTCCTTTGTCACGGGAAATGTTAAAATATTGTGTTCTTTCCCTGCTTGTGTAGACAGACCCAGAAGTTCAGGTTTGGTTGGATTTTTTTAATAAGATATACAAGCAGGAATATGCAACTATATTATTATCAGGGATGGTTTTTAAAATGGGCAATTTAAAAATCTTTTCTACAAGTATATATAAAAAAAATCTTTTCCCCCCCCCCATCCCCAATATAATTTATCTCCTAACCAAATAACAATCATTCGTTTCTAAAATGAAGTTACTTTCCCAGTTTCTTCTTTTTCATTTCTGGTTCTTTATTGCCACTTGATTGTGCAGCGATTCTGGAATAGCCTAATATCTGAAAAATAAGAAAATCATGTTCAACCTAACTAAGGAAATGAGAGTTATCTGGGTTATTTTTTTTAAAAAAAAAACTAGCTTATCAACCCAAGTTTTAAAATCTCAGATGACGAGGCCTCCGTCTGTAAGCAAAAACATCCTTTAAAACTAAAGTCACGGTCTCCCCCCCCCCAAAAAAAAAGCTTTCCAATGCTTCTTTTCAAGACATCTTGGGTCTTCCCTGTCTGGTGGGTTTGCTGTAAGGTTCCTAAAGAGACCAAGAGCTGCTTCAGGTGCGTCTCCACAGTCTTCATCCATGTTAACCAGGAACCTACCTTGGGCTCTACCAGCGTCATGCGGATTTTCTGATGCTGAACGTTGGAGGAATCCAGCACGATGCTGACTTTAATCTTGTCGAACGTACAAAAAGTGGTGCCTTCCACGGTGAGGGAAGGAATCTATGGAGAAGAGCACATTTGATATTTTCGGTTCAGGAAGCGCTATAGGCAATCCTTGTCTTGCAATAACTGAGCCCCAATTTTCTGTAGCTAAGCCAGACGAGTTGTTGAGTTATGACTTTTCTTGCCACCATCACTAAATGAATCGGTACGCAGTTGTTAAGTTAGGAACGCGGTTGTAAAGTGCATCTGGCTTTCCCATTGATTTTGCTTACCAGAGAGTGGCCAAAGGCGATCACGGGACCCCCCCAGGACGCTGCAACCATCATAAATGTGAGCTAGTTGTCAAGTGTCTGAATTTGGGTCACCTGATCATAGGGAGGCTGCAATGGTCTTGCGTCACTTTTTTCATTCTAACTTTGAACCGTCACTAAGCAAAAGGTTATAAGCCAAGGATTACCTGCACTTAAATCAGTGGTTCTCAACCTTTTTAATGCCACAACCCCCCCCCCCAACTGGTCGTAAATCGAGGACTACTCAACCGGTCGTAAGTCGAGGACTACTCAACTGGTGCAGCACCCTTTGCAGAATGGGACTTTTGGCGGGCTCAGCAGGGCAGAGACAGCCTGGACAATTCCTACTGGCTTTTGAAAGCCAATAGAATTAGACTCTATTCAAGAGAGTCTAATTCTATTGGCTTTCAAAAGCCAATAGAATAAAAGGGAGTAGCACAGCTAAGGAAAAGGGGGAAAAAATGGCGGACTACGTTGTTTGGTGACCCCTGTGAAATGGTCGTCCGACCCCAAATGGGGTCCCGACCCACAGGTTGAGAACCACTGACTTAAATCGTCGTAGAGTCCTTTGCCATTCTATATTATGTGTTTTAAGAAGAAAAAAAAGTAATTTTGCCTTTGCAAAAGAAAGCTGTACCTCCATGTTGAACACAAGTCCTTCCTTAGCCTTGCCCTTTTCTTCAAAGAACACGGTGCCTTCTAAGCCGTATTTGGGAATGAGGACCACAATGGCATTCTTCCTGACAAACAGGATGTAGGCCTCTTCGCTGACCTCACCCTTGTTTTTGAAAAACAACTGGCGGGGGAAAAAAAGTGTAAGCTGCTGATATACAACACGTGTTGACATCGCCGAAGAATCAAACTCTCTTTCATAAAATCACACACACACACGTACACACACCCATCATACGGATCCAGCTCTACTCCAAACCCTTGCAAACGTTGAATTTATAATAGGCTCATCTCCACACTACTTGGCATTCTGACAACTGGCAACAGATTGGTAGTGATACTGTGAACAAGTGCACACAAGGGTGGCCAGCTCTTTAAGCCTCTCTGGGGCCCTTGGGACTCCGATTCTAACATTCCACATTTCCTAAACCAGTGATGGCGAACCTATGGCACAGGTGCCAGAGGCGGCACTCAGAGCCCTCTCTGTGGGCACGCATGCCATTGCCCCAGTCCTAGGCCTTCAACTGGGTTTTATAAAACCTTTTCGCTTTAGGCCTCCGCCTCCATTGTAAAAAAAAAAAAAAGGTTCAATCAATCAATTTCAACTTCTCGCAGGAAAAAAAAAGATCTTGCAAAGTTGGAATTGATTGATTGAACTTTTTAGTCCCACCCAGTCTGCCGTTACCACTGCAGCCACACCCACCCAATGGGCCACACCCACCTGGCACCTGATGATGCATAAGTGGGTTTTGTGTTGCAATTTGGGCACTCGGTCTCTAAAAGTCTCGCCATCACTGTCCTAAACATTCTGGAGCAGAGAACGGCTATTCACCTGGGTGTGGAAAGCAATGGAAGCCCTCTGAGCATACTGGGCCATTTTGTGCCGATAATTGAGATTTTTGCACAAATCCGCCAATTTGTGTTTGTCGGTGAGCTCGGGGTAAGTACTGTCCACCCCGATAGCAACAGCCAGGAGTCGATGTACTATAATATCAGCGTATCTGCAATGAGATAAATGAAAATTTTTCACTGAGAATAACCCACAAATATTTTTTTTTAGGGTACATCGCCCCCAAATCAAAAAGAGTTAAAGTTTTACAAACAAGGATTTTCCACAGAGGCTCTTAAGCCTCCGTGAACAGAAATTAAGACAATTGCTAAACAGAATTTTTGGGCGGTTCATACGGAATAACTTTTGGAAAGGGTGGCTGGGAAGGACAAACTTCCCTTTCCCATTTTTTGTGTAACCTCAAAATAGCAATTAAATATTCACTGGCAACTGAAGCCACGTTGGGATGCTGTTTTGTGGCCCTTGCCTTGGTAAGGTAATTGAGAGAGATGGGAAGCTAAGAAGTATGATATATAACTAAATAAAATGGCTATCAAATCAGGCACCATAATCCATATAATGGCTTGATATTTGCTCCGAAGTAAGCCCATAAGCGGCCCTACCTTCTGATTGGAGAGGTAAAGTGAGTATATATGGGCGACGCTAAGCCATAATGGTGAAAGTCGCTGTCCATTCCAGAGCAAAAATAAACGGCCTGCATCATGCAGCGGGTGGCTAAGATGCGTATGAGGGTGTTCAGGTAGGGAAAAGAAGAAGACTCGGCTCGGTCCAGGGAATCGGCCAGAGATTTTGCAGAATCAGTTTTGATTTCCAAACCCTACAGCCGAAGCAGAAAATGGGGTTTCAAAACAGTTGAATTTTGCGTAAGTATCGCAAATATTGATGGTGAAATATCAAGGCATGAACAGAATAAAAAGAATGGAATGGAATAGAAATAGAACAGAACAGGAATAGAACAGAAATAGGAATAGAATCAGAACAGAAACATAAACACAAATAGGAACAGAATAGAATGCAGAATACAATAGAATAGAATAATGGAATAGAACAGAACAG